GCTCTCTGTCCCTTGTCTTAGCTCATTTCACGGTCTGACAGCTTACTGTTAAATGTCATCCTTCATACAGTCATCAGAATCAACTTTTTTTTTCCAGAACCTACTTTCTGAAACCAATGTCCCTCCAAAGATCCAAAGTAGCTACTTTAAGCTTTTTTTACTAAAAACAACAACAACAAGAACAACAACCACAGAAACCTGAATGCTGACAGTAAATCTCCAGGGACAGGCTGGGGGGCGGTGGGAGTCCAGACACAGACACTTTTCTTCTTAACACCTCGTCACTTGTCCTGTGACTAAAGAGTGGCAGTGCAGAACTGTCCCCAATCACTACCATGGGTCTGTGTATCAAGTCTGAACATAGCATCACCTTTCGCTTGTGCTGTGTGCACCTGCTGCTTCACTGGTCCTCAAAGTGGGAACTGGGGACTCTGCCGCCATTCCAGGGGATCTGCGAGGAGCACAGCGTCAATCTGCCCATCATGGATGCGTGTCATCCCACCTTGCAAACTTACTTATTGTTACAGTCTGCCATCTTGTAAAGAACATTCAGCCAACCTGACCCAAATTAGCTGTTCGCTTGCTAATTTGTGTATTAGCCAAATAAGCATGTCTTCATAGGGAAGTAACAACGTGAGAGCCGCACACAACCTCAGCACCTTCATTTTTCCCTCTTCAATAGGAGGGCCTAACAAGGCCGAAGCTAGCAGACAACTTACAGGATGACAGGTGGAAAAATATTCATTTTTAATGGCAATCAAGAAATTCAAATGAAGATCAAATTCATTATAAATACTCGTGCTTTACTGTCCGCTGCACAAACTGACAACTTCCACAAGACACGCATATTGTCAGGGGCCAGCACTATAGCACAGTGGGTGAAGCGCTTGCCCGGGAAGCTACGATTCCATGCGCGTGCCAGCTCCTGCACCACCTGCCACACCACTGATCCAGCCCCCTGCCAGTGTAAGAAAGGAAAGAAGTCCGAGAAGGCCCAAGTCCTCCCCAGGAGACCCAGCAGAGCCAGCCCAGCCATCAGCAGATGAAGATCTCTCTCTCTCTGAGACTCCGCCTTTCAAATAAATGAGATACATATTCCTAAAAAGTTGCTTATGAACTTTTATTAAATGTTATATCCTCTTATTTTCTATTTCTACTTCTAGAAGGACCTATAATAAAAACATTCAACTCTGGGGAAATGGTTAGGTTATAAATCAAGTAAAATATTATATAGCCACCTAAAATTGTTTTTACAAAGCAACAGTGGAAGAAATAGAGAAATTGTTAAAATTTAAAGTTAAAAACAAATCAGTAAGGTTGATGTTTGGTCTACATACACTGTAGGACCCCACACCTTCCTATTAGACAGCCTCGGTTCAAAGTCTGCCTCCATTCCTAATCTCATTTCCTGCTAATACGCATTCTGGGGCACAGCAGGTAGGGCTCAGGTAGGTGGTCCCTGGTACCCATGGGGGAGACAGCCCTGGGCTGCTGGTATTCAGGCTGTGAACCAGAATGGACGCTCTGCTTCTCAACAGAAACAAATATCTAAAAAACAAAACAAAACAAAACAACCCTAAAAAGAAATACAAAATTTTGTAATAGGAGGCCAGACAGAATAATACAAAATATACTGTGCCTGCAATCAAGGCCGCTATGAATTCCCATTTCACTTTCCTAAGTGTAAGGGATTACATTAACTTTTATAACTCACATTTCTGAAACCAGCAGAATTATTTTAAAATGGAACTGAGTTATAACGGCTAGCTTATCTCTAAGGCTCAGATTTTGAAATGTATTTTTAAGCCATATCAGAATTCAAGAATAGAAAATCAGCTGATCTATTCTCCAACCTCCCATCAAGGGAAAAGGCAGCCCTCTACCTATACACTACCGGCAGTCTTAATTATAACCATAGCTTATCAAGCCAGGAAATTAAAAAAAAATACCAAAAAACAGCCTTAGTCATCAAGTCTCCGATATAAAATCACTTAACTGTATGCAGACGGTACTACTGGAAGTAAAGGGAAATTCATTTAGTTCTGCACCAAGATCCACACTGGGAATCCCCAACTCGCCCCCAAAGCATGAGTACTAAGGCTACTTGTTCTGTTTGGGAGTCCTGCCAGGCACCTGCTCCCAGGGTCTCCATCAGCACCCCTTCCCCTTCCTGAGGAGGTGCCCAGGGGTCCTGCCAGGCACCTGCTCCCAGGGTCTCATCACCACCCCTTCCCCTTCCTGAGGAGGTGCCCAGGGGTCCTGCCAGGCACCTGCTCCCAGGGTCTCCATCAGCACCCCTTCCCCTTCCTGAGGAGGTGCCCAGGGGTCCCGCTGGGGCACCTGCTCCCAGGGTCTCATCACCACCCCTTCCCCTTCCTGAGGAGGTGCCCAGGGGTCCTGCCAGGCACCTGCTCCCAGGGTCTCCATCACCACCCCTTCCCCTTCCTGAGGAGGTACCCAGGGAAAAGGAGAGACCAGCAGGCAAGCTTCAAGTCTTCAAAAGAAAAAACATATATTAACAAAACCTGAACACCTACCCTCTATTACTGGTGTGGGGAGTGTCTCAAAGCCGACTAACAAGATAATATTACTTCAGGCCAAGGACCTGTATATTAAGTAGTTAACCATTGCAACGCCAAAGCTTTACCAGTACCCAGTCTCTTTAAAATGTGGGAAGATATTTCAATACTAAAAGGCAATGGCACCTGCACCTTAAAACCAACACACTCGGAAACAAAACCCAGTCGTTTTTCTAGACATTTAACTTAGTATCCATTTCATAATCGAATGCTGGCAGTTAGGTCACTCTCCTCAGAGGTCTAACCTCCCCTCCCCTCGAGCAGAAATTTCCCTCTCTTCATTTCCCATTACTGACCCCCCGCCCCACCGCCGCCAGAGCAAAGAAGCAACCACTTCCCAAAGCCCCACTTCCTTTTCCATGCCTGAGACCTCCAGGGTTTCCAACGCCCTAGTCTTGCGCAACATCCGTAGGAGCAGCGGCCGCAACCACCACCGCCTCCCAAGCCGGGAAACAACCCCTAGAGGGAACATTGTCCAGCAGAAAAATAAAAGGGGCGGGGAAGGGGTGGGGGCTAATGTAAGGAAGTCGACTTCTGGTCCCACGCCTTCCAATCGGACCCCCTCACCGTGGTATCTCGGGCAATTTCACCAAGGCGACTTTTAACCCTCGCCTCCTCGGGTGCCCGGCTGCCCTAGCGGAGGGCGGAAAGGGGGGGAGGGCGCAGTGGGAAAGGGAGGCGGGAAAGGTTATCTCCCAGTTCAGGGCTCCGGCCGTCAGTCGCCTCCGCCCCATCAGGACTATTGTTCCCAAGTTCCCCACCCCCACCCCGGATAGGAAGTGCTGGTCACATCCCCTCGGCCTGCGCCAATATCCCCCTGGGGACTCCGAAGCCGGGGGCTTCCTTCGGCCGGACCCCCCAACCTACACTTTACCCCCTTCGTCCCCCTCCGATCTCAGCTCGCTCTGACCCCAAGACCACCTTAAAACCTGGGTCAGCTGGGGGAGGAGACGGGACCGACGTGGGTAAACGGGAAGAGGTGAAGCGACCGCCAAGATTTCCTTAAGGACAAGCTTTGAACCAACGCTGGAGGTAATCGCGAACCCCGAAACGGCACGATTACTACCAGGCTCCTCTGCAGGCAGTGGGATTGCCCCCTCGCCCCATGAGTAAATGCCAACCTCTGCACCCCTCCACCTCGGGCCCCGCTTTACGTGCCCGCCCGGCAGCCAGACACGCTGCCCAGACCCTCTCCGGGTGGATTGCCAGAATAGGACTGCAAAGAAGAGCCCACCCCTCTCCAATCCTCCGCATCACCCCCGGCCTGCACCTCACCAGCCTCGGGCTCCCGGGCCTGAGAAAACAATAGGTGGTCGCGGCGGGGGCCCGGTGCAAGAGTCTGGGTTCTCCGGGGCCGCGCCCTGATCAACCCGGGGCGCCCGCAGGAGGACAGAGACGAGGCCGAGGGGAGAGGGTGGGTGAAGGAGCCCATCTCTCTCCTCTCTCTCCTCCCACCGGGCCGGCGAGACCACCCGGCCCTCGGGGAGCTGCTGCTGCTGCTGCTGCTGCTGCTGCTGCACGCCCCGCACCTCATCGCCGCACACAAAGCACCCGGCGACCCGCGAAGAGGCGACACACACACACACGCACATAGCACACGCCACTCACCATGAAGTCCCGGGCGAAGTTATCTTCTCCATTGTGATCGGGACTCTTCATGGCCTGGACCCTCTGGATGAATTTCCTCAGGATCTCCACTTGCTCCATCCTCCCGCGTCCCCGGGGCTGCGGTCGCTGACCCCCACTACTACTCCTCCTCCTCCTCCGTCGCCGCCCGCCCGCCCGGCGCACCGCCCGCTCGGTCTTCCCCAGTTCGCCTCCCCCCCACCCCGACTGCCAGTCTTCCTCTCCCGCCCGACCCCCGCCCAGCCCCGCCGCTCCCTCCTTCCTCCTCCTCCTCTTCCCCACCGCCCGAGGCGGCGGCTGCGTCGGTCCACCCCCCCACCGGCCCCGGATCCCGACACCACACAACTCCCTGGCTCTCCCCCCCACCGGACCGGGCGAGCCGCTGCGGGCTAGCGCCAACCCCCAACCCCGGCTTGATCCATCCTCCTTCCCCGCCCTCCCCTGCTCCTTCTGTCCGCTGCCGCCTCAGGAACACGGATCCCCCGCTCGCCCTGCCCTCCTTCTTCCCGGTTCTTCCTCCCTCCCACCCCCCACTCGCAGCCGCCGCCGCCGCCGCTCCCCACGGGCGCGCCCCCGCCGCCACCCAGACGCGCGCCCCCGCCGCCACCCAGACGCGCGGCCCCGCGCAGCCGGCTCCGCCCCGAGCGCGACGAGCGAGTTGGGGCGCCCGGGCCACGCCCCCGGGTCCTTCCCACCGTGTCGCTGACCTCACATCCGGGGCGTGGCCCACCCCGAGAGCCTCCTGGTGGGATGAAAGGCGCGAGTCTCAGGGCGTAGAGGGGTGAGGCCTGTGGGAAGAAAGGCATGCTGGGCAATGTAGTTCCCAGCCCGGTAGGTGGCAGGCGTCGGCGAGAAGGCGGGTGCCCGGTTCTCTCAGGCTTTGGCACCGGAAGGGCATAGCTACGGCTGAGAGGAGAGCCAAAGGTTTCTTGGGTGACAAGGCTGTTCCCTCTGCAGATCTGTTTAGATTCAGGTGAGTGCGCGCCTGGAATGCGAAGTGTGTCCTTCAGAGACCGAGTACTTGGTAAGCGCTACACTGTTTTCCAGAACGTCCGGGAATTCGTCCTCCTACGTTTGAATTCCCAGCACTTCAGAAAAAGCCAAAGGCTCTGAGGAATGGACTTTGTGGATAACGTCTCAGTAAATCGGGTTATCCGTCCTGGTCTGACGCCTCCTCTAATAAAGTGATTGGCCCAGGGTCCACCAGACATGATATTACCATATCCTGGCAGCTGTTTTCATTGGATATCAGAAAAAAAAAAAAAAAGCAGGATCCGGAGCTAAAACACCTCCCGGGATAACTCACTGTAGACACCCATTTCACCCTCGGAAAGGAGAGAAAAGTTAGACTACAAAGAAAGGGGTACACAATTAGGAGTTCCTCCACTTTTCGTTTGTGGGTCTGCCCTGGGTCCCCTCTCCCCGCACACGAGTGATGGGAAGACCTTCTTTCGGCCTCCCAGGAGGTACCTGAGCAGGAGCCAGAGCTGGGACTCGAACCCAGGCATTCTGTTGTGTCACACACGCACTAACCACCAGACCAAGGGCGCTTGTCCCTGTCTTCCACTTTGCAATATAATGCAATGATTTTTTTTTAAAAAAAAAGATTATCTTGTATTTCAAAGGCAGATTTAAAGAGAGACAAAAACCTTCCAATCTGCTGGTTCGCTCCCCAAACGGCTGTGGTGACCTGGGCTGTGATGAAGCCAGAAGCCCCGAGCATCCTCTGGGTCTTGGGTGGCGGGGGACCTGGGGACTTGGGCCATTTTCTGGTGTTTTCCCAAGCCTGTTCGGCATCTCTGTTTTGTTTGACTTTCATTGGCAAGCCTCTTTCCTTCAACACTTGAGGGCTGCTCAAGCTCTCAGCACCTACCTCTGGCATCTACAACAAGTTAGGAAAAATTAAAGTGACCTCCGCAGTTTTCAACGCTTAGAGAGGCTTAGCCGTATTATCCTTGGTGCCGACCTTGTGTTTTCTTCTCAAAGTACATTTGGGTCTCGTTTCAATTTCCAGATTTTGTTTTTGAGCACCTCAAGATTTGAGAGGGGTTCTGTGTGCTTGCGAGGGATACACAAATTAGGGGTGGCTCCTTCTGAGCCAAATACAGCGTCGTTGAGGAGACAGGAAAACCAATAAACTCTGGGTCCTTTCAAGTTAATAGAGGCCAGATGAATGAGTGATTTAACAATTCTGGGAAGAGAGAATTGTGGATCAAGCCATCAGAACACGAGGGGGTCGTAAGAGTGGACCTTGAAGCATGAGTGGTGAACAGGAGGGGGAAAACCCACGAAAAGAAAGGCTGGGGGAGGGGAGGGCCTGCGAACAACAGTGCAGAAGTTGGAATAGAACTTTTTTTTTTAATAGGTGGGAAGGCTCTCAAATAGGCTGGACTCGAGTGTTTGCCCTGTCAAGGCTATGAAGGTGACACCACAGCAAGGGAAGCCACCAGAGGTTTCTGAAGGTAGAGGTAAAAATAGTGGGGGGAAAATAACCATTTTTGGATAAATAATGACTTAATAGGAGGAGAGAGTGAGCTGAGGCAATTTCAGAAGCCAAATACAAAAGCTAAGACGACTGGAAGTGCAAATACAAGGATATAGATGGAGTAAGGTATTTCAGAGGAACTGTGCAGGAGCTGGTGTTGGGGTGCAGCATGTTTAACTTGAAGTCGCTGCCTGCCCTGCTTCCCATTCAGCCACCTGCTAATGTGCCTGGGAGGCAATGGATGTGGTCCCAGGACCCAAATGGAAAATGCTGCTAGCTCACATCTGGTCCAGCCTGTGTTTATGGCATCATCTGGGAAGTAACCCAGCGAATGGAACGTATCTCCTCTCTCTCCCTCTCTGTCTGTTGCTCTGCTTTTCAAATAAATAATTATTTTAAATATTCATGGGTTACAGAACAAGGTGGGGTGGCAGGGAAGGGACAGAGAGAGCACTTTCTTGTGCTGGTTCATTCCTTCATGGCTGGACCAGGTCGAATCCAGGAGCCCAGAGCTGCCTCCAGGTACTGGGTCATTTTCCACTGCTTTCCCAGACAGCTGGATACCAAGTGGAGCAGCCAGAAATCAAACTGGCATCCATACGAGATCCAGGCAGCAATTTTGTCCTCTATACCATACCATTGGCCTCAGTAAATATAAATGTTTTAAAGAAGCTTAATCATTAGAAAGAGATTTTAGACTTGATTGCTTGTTTCATGTTCAACATCCCTTTTCCCTTTAGCTCAGGTACAAAATACTGTCAGGTCTGCAGAACTTTTCATTTGGGGCGTATTTTTACCTTTGTTCTCATAGAAGCTCCCTTTGTGTCGTTCACAACATTATAGCTTTGTGAGGGTTTTTCTTTTTTAAACCCTGGAAATGAATTTGGTAACTGCTGTCTTCATTAATACCCAAAAAACACAGGAAGTGAGCAAGATGAGCTCACTGGTAGGAAACAAATGTTAGACTCAGGGACAGAACCCACAGGCCTGAGTTTCCGGCTTGTTGCCTAAACCATCGAGTCGCAGCACTTTTATCCCTGGTGTAATTTGGTGAAGCTTCAGGTAAGACTGCACATCACTGCTGAGATTCTGATGTAACCTGCTTCACTCTGTACCCTTCGGTCCTCTCGCCCCTCTGAACTGTGTCTTAGATGAACCCTCTCTGGGAGGTGGCGGGCACTGAAGAAGGGAGGGAAATTCTTCTTTAGTTATTATTGGTACTCTTTACTCCCTCATTCCTACCCTTAGTCACAGCGAAAAAACAAACAGACAACCTGCTGACCATTTCTTTACTCAGGTTTTTTTTACTTTTTTTTTTTTTTCCCTTAATCAAATACAATCCATCCAATTGGAACCTCGGGATAAGGCCTTAGGACAAAATCTTCTTCATAGAAACTTCCAGACCTTAGTATCTCCGTGTTCTTTTATATGCCATTCTCTTTTTCTTCTTAGAATTTCATTCCAGAAAAGGTTACTAGATATTAATCTTTCTATGCAACTCAAAATGTAAAGATCACAGGACCTCAACTTGGAGAAGTTATTTACCCAAGGTCACCCAAGTGGCAGACCTGGAGCCAAAAGTTCGATGCTACCACACTCCAGTGAGAACTTCAGAGTGTTACACAACAAAGGCTACCTGTATAAAACCAGTCACTACAGAAGAACACAGAGGGGACGTCCACCTTCGGCCTCTAACTTTCCTGTCTCATGTTTATTATGCTGTTTCATTTAACATTCAAAGAGAGATTAAAATTTTATAAATAGCTTCAAAGTCAAATTCTACCTGAACATCTAATTAGGGATCACTTAACACAAGGCTGGCCATCAGCAAGGGCTACGAAATATGTTACAGGGTTAAGATGCCTTTGTAGTCCTGCCCGGCCCATCCTCCCCAGATACAGTAAAAATTCCTTTACTTGGAATTTTTATTGCTCCAACGCATGGGTAGCCTTACACTAAGGAGTGTCTTATACTTCTTATGTGTGTGTTTGGTTAAAAAAAATAATAATATATGTATATATATAGTTGGAGCAGCAAGGATTTGAACTGGTACACACAGTTGGCAGCTTAAACTATGGCACCCTGATGCTGGGCATCGTTCATACCTTTTTTTTAAGATGGGTTTGTTTTTATTTGAAAGGCGGAGTTCACAGCGCAGAAAGAAAAAGAGAGAGACCTTCCATCCACTGACTTACTCCCCAAATGGCTGCAACAGCCAGAGTTGGGTCAGTTTGAAGCCAACAGCCGGCAGCCAAGATCTTTTTCACAGTCTCCCTCATGGATGTAGCGGCCCAAGTACTTGGGCCATGCTTCCCTGCTTTCCAAGGCCATAGCAGGGAGCTGGAGCAGCTAGGAATTGAACCCACACCCATATGAGATACTGGCACTGCAAGCAGAGGCTTAACATGCTATGTCATGGCACAAACCCTGCTCCTGAATGATTTGAACATTAAGTATAGAACTGTAGTTTGTCCACGCAGAACCCTCCATTAACTGTTCTCCAATATTAAGAGAGCAAGAAAGACTATACGAAATTAGATATAATATCAGGGTTTGAAAAACTCAATCTAGCACAATTTCCTGGAATTTTTTAACTTAAAAAAATGATGTGACAAATTGATTACACCATGCCTAAGATATTATATAATTTATATTATCACATAAATAGCAAAGATAAAATCCATGATAATTTTTTATCAAATCAAATCATTTTTCCAGAAAAATGTTTCATTATATTTAAGATATAAAATGGTACAGCCAGAATCCCAAAGTTTTAAAGGTGCATTGGATAATGAAATAACTTTATAGGATTATTGAGAATATTGAAAATTACTGTTGACTGATCCGAACTAATAACACTTTTGAATTTTGTTTTCTCTGCGTTCTTTGGGGAACTCTGTGTAAAACTTGCAAAGTTTTATTCTGCTGCTTCATGATTACCGCTTTGCTCTGGCTTGGTCCAAGCTACTGTCATCTCTCACATGATAATGGCCTCCTAACTGGCCTCCGCGTCCCACCCTGCTTGCTTCTGCCACGGAAGGTCAGGAAGTTTGCTTTCAGAATGTGTCGCTGATCTCACTCCTCTGCTCAGAGCTTGGCAGTGACTTCCTGTGTCACAAGGAGATGGCATGCAGTGTGCTCTGGGCTCCCTACATTATGGGATGGAAATGTGGGGAGAGCGTTTTTTGTTGGTTTCTTTTTTATGCTGCCATGATTGAGTAGCGTTGAGTGTAGCTAAGGCCGGGAGGCTCCACCATCCTACACGTTCTGTCCTTGTGAAGAATTGTCTCTCATCTTGCGTGGCTGGCTTTTTTAAGATCAACTTTTGAAGTGTAATTTGTAACAATAAAATTCATTCAAGTGTGCAGTCTGATGAGTGATGACTAAGGCATTCACCCATAAAATCACCATTAACCGTCAAAATCTGAATCATTTTCATCACCGCAAAAAAAAAAAAAAGTTCTCTTGTGTGCCTTTGGTGTGATTTCTGAACAAGTCTTGGGATCTTCCCAGAGGTGTTTGTGATGACCTGCTTTTAATCATCTGAGCCTAACTCCATTTTCTATGTAAACTGTTTTAGCAGGGTTTTAATATACGCTTGATTTTCCAGAAAGGCAACCAGAATATACATTAAGGAAAGATTTTTGTTGTTGCTGTTCAGAATTTTACTAGAGGTTTCACGGTTTGGAAAAATGACGGCAGAGATGACATCAGCCTCACGCTTTGTGGCATTTGAGACTAAGAAGTCGGTGCTGTAGTAGCTTGTGCTTTGTAGCCGTCGTGGTGATGGTGATTTTGCATAGAGGTGCAGACACATATTTCATCTTGTCTTTTGGGGTGTTCGTGTGTGTGCATTTACAGATGGAAATAGATAAAGTCATTTCATTTAGGTATCTGCTTAGATTAGATTACCTGATAGTAAGAGAAGAGTCTGAAACATGTGTTGAAAAGGGGACACTAGACTCTAGAAGCTCTGCCCTACACATTCTGACCCAGCCCCTGGCCGCCAATAAGCCTGGAGCTCAGTAGACTGTTTGCTCTTGCTCTGGCCACTCGAGCTGCTGGCTTTCCTGCTGTGTCGTGTGCTGGTCTGTGGACGTCCACCTCTGCCCCACTGTGTGTGCTCTGTGTCCCTCTTTGAGCATGCGCTCTCCCCAGGCATCCGCATGCCTCACTTTTGCCCCCTTTTCAGGTCTTTGCTTCAATGCCATCTTCCCGCTGAGGGTTGCCTGCTTTCTCAGATAGAACTCACTGCTTGAGGCCCAGCATGATGCCCTAGTGGCTAAAGTCCTTGCCTTGCATATGCCAGGATCCCATAAGGGTATCAGTTCATATGCTGGCTACTCCACTTTTGATCCAGCTCCCTGTTTGTGGCCTAGGAAAGCAGTAGAGCATGGGTCAAAGCCTTGGGACCCTTTACCCCGGTGCGAGTCTTGGAAGAAGCGCCTGGCTTTGAATCAGCTCAGTTCCAGCCGTTGTGGATATTTAGGCAATGACCAGCAGGTGAAGGATCTATCTCAAGTCCTTGCCTTTCATGTGCCGGGATCCCAAATGGGCACTGGTTCTAATCCCAGCTGCTCCACTTTCCCAGCTCCCTTCTTGGGACCCTGCACCCACATAGGAGACATGGAGAAGTTCCTGGTTCCTGGCTTCAGATCAGCTCAGCTCTAGCCACTTGGGGAGTGAACAGCAGACATAAGATCTTTTTTGTTTCTCCTGTTCTCTGTATATCTGCCTTTGGGATAAAAAAAAAATAAATCTTATAAAGGAGGGCTACGTCTTATTAGTTGTTGTATTTCCAGTTCTATGCTTGATGCCTACAGCTACATAATAACTATCAGCTGAATAAAGGATTATCTGCCTGCCAAGCAGGATGTTCTGTTAAATAAGTGAATCATTTTTCTATAATCCTGCTTATGCCACTGATCTGGTTTTGTTCAGGGATTGTTCAGGTAGAGTTTAGTTTGAGCAATTTAAGTCAATTTTTAAAGTAGTAGGGGCCCAAATAAATGACATGTATTTGTATAAACAATGTTTTACTGCTTTATTCTTAAGACAGACATCATATATCGCCTCCAGCATCTGGGGCAAGTGATTAGTAATTTATAAATTCAGACTAATTATACCATATAGAGGACACACATCGGTGTGCCCCATGGGTATGGCTTATAAATAACTCTCAGTT